GCTCGGGGAGCGGGCTCCACCAGCCAGAGAATCAAGGGACAGATCTGCAGGACGAGAGCGGGAGTCCGAGGCGGCCATGCGGTCTGGCGCCACGTTGGTGGACTGCGGCAGCGGGAGGTTAACAGGCAGCGCGCACTCAGCCAGTCATCCGGACACGCCCCCTCTGTATAGTACCGGTATCGGGCCCGATGCAAGTACCGGTATCGGGACATCCCTACCCAGAACTCTCTCCTCCTGTCCTCTGGTGGTGGCTTCCATGTCTTGGGTTCTCCTCATATCAGGTGTTGGTCCTTCAGGGACTTTGGTATTCTAGATGGTTCCCAATATAGTGGACCTTCCACCAGTGCACCTGTGAGAGCCACATACAACCATCGCCAGATCTACCCATTCACAGTCAGATCTATTTCATATAAGCGCAGCACATACAGCTCATGTTGCAGACTGATGACCCCACATACCGGCGCAGCTCTTCAATCCTCCGCCGATATTTGCTGTAGAAGGGATTTTCCTCCACCGAGAATACCCTCATCTGTCCCCACAGTCCACCCAGGGGCCCGGGGCTCCCAATCCGGCATTTCACCGACAAGAAACCCCGAATGTTCCGCTTACTGCTTGTGCCAATCCACCCGAGGGCGCTGAGAGCTTCGTGTACATCCACTCTCGGCCGCCAGAGGGCGCAGAGAGTCCGGGGGAGTTTACTCTGGGGGGTATGTGTGAAGAAGGCCGCCCCCCAGTGAGCGGTGACAGCACCGATTCCCAGGGTTACAGCTGCTCGTGGGGGTGGGGGGGAGTTTGTGGACGCCTCATACCGTTGTCTGGACGTCCTGGCTCCGCCCCCGCTGCCTCCATGGAAACGCATTCCGCTAGCGCATACAGCCAATCAGAAGCAGCTGAACAATCTGAACTGACCAATAGAAGCCGCCGCCGGGAGACTTAAAGCGAGAACCGGAAACCGTCACTCAGACATTGCTGCAAAAGGCTAGCCGATACCGAACAGTGTAGAAGCTCTCTGATACCGAACAGAATCGGCACCATGTCCGTCCGCATCACCCGGGTGAGTCTCCGCCATCAATTGTGTGCAATTTATGTGCTTCCCCGTTCCTGAGTTCTATGTGTATGCAATCTACTATTTGTGTACTCGCTTCCACCCCAGTGGGTACTATTTGTTTGTTCCCCCCC